TCGTGACTCCATTGAAACAAGAGAATCTGTTCAAGGACAGTGATGGACTTGTCCAGATCAACCATGGGGGATCCATTCAAGAAGCCGAAGTCTGGTGGCAGATGAAAGTCATTCCAGGAAAGAACGTTTCAGAAGCTATAAGAAACTACATGGACTGCCAACTAGAGCCTCACTAGTCGGAGTACCAGAATCCGAGGAACTTAGCCTCCATCAGAGCTCGTGTTAATGCAGAACTCAAGAGGATAGATGAAGCTGGTGCACAGGTAGAAGAGGAGGACTTTTAAATATCTATACTCTGTATCTCCGTTAACTCTCTGATAATAAGATACCATCTCTGCCTCTATTTTGCATGGCATCCTCATTTATCTATCCTTATCTGCCTTATGTGTTTGTATTTAATTTATTCTCTGATACCTTATTCTTTATTGTCTGCTGTCTGAATGTACCGTACTCTTACTACTTTCCTATGCTAAGTTGCCCACCAAGTTTTTAATGAAAGTTTTTAACTTTATCTTTATATGGTGAAAGGCACTTCTCTGGAAATAGTTAAAGGGTTTTGATTAGAAATGGTAAGGAATAAATGTAATTAGATTTTGATGATGCTAGGTTAATTAGAATTTGAAAGTACCCCTTTAGAAATTTTGTATTAGAAATTTTCTTCTCTAAGTATTAGCATAGTCGACGTGCCAGAGATCTTCTTGGACTTCTTGATCTACCAGAGTTGCTCCCAGAGTTGCTCACCAGAGAAGCTACCAGAGTCGGGTACCAAGGCAGGTACCAGAGTTGGCATCAAAGGCAGACTTCAGTGTTACAACCAGATAGCCTCACCAGACATGTTGATATTTGTCAGAACTCGAAGACTCTTCCAACGGCCGTGAAACTAACGGGGTATTCCCTAACGACTAGAAGCCATTCAACGAAATACTGTACTGTACACGCATTTAATGCTCAATTAATGCGCGACGTACGAAGAGATATTTAAAGCTGATGATTGACCATGCGGATATCCTTTCGCCCCCAAAATAGCAAGTCGAAGGACCAACCGGTCAAATCAACAGTACAAGCATTAAATGAAGTTGTCTTCTACACTCCAACGGGAAGACCGCTCCCAATATATAAGATACACACCGAAGGACTATAGGAACAACTTTGCTACAATTTTTGAATCACACTTCGAGCTTTCTTGAGATCACAACCTCATCATCCTCAACAAGAAAAGCCTACTGTTGGAAAAATATAAACTTCATATTCCTTCATCCAACACAAAGCAAAGTTCTTCAGTTCTTCAACACTTCGAAAGCCTCATCTACACATCCTTTGTGAAGAAGATACGTTGGAGAAAACTGATTTTGAATCAAATACTTCTTGAAAAAGAAGGGACGTCTCAAACTAACTGGAGTAAGCGAAGTGGGGATACTTCTAAGAGACTCAGTGAAACGAGACCAACCATCAGGAAGCAGTACTGCATCCCGGGTGGCAACTAGATTTGAAGAAGATGAGGAGTGCTTCTTAAGTGCTAGGGACTAAGACGTTGTAAACTGTTGTTTTTGCAAGCTTAGTGGAACAGTGGACTAGAGGAACGCGTTGTTCCTTGAACCACTATAAAAACCTCTGGTGTCATTTACTTTACGCATTTAATTTCTGCACTTAAGATTCTAACTGTTTAACTCAATAGGTTGGACTCTGTGTACAGCAGATCTTCCTTAAGAGTTATCAGAAAGACATTTGCCTTAGTGTTTTCCTGAGGCTACCCGGACAGAACTTTATCCGCTGCCAGGTCCAGTTCTGCAATCAGAACTTGACCTTCTCTGTCACCAGAATTAAACCTTCTCTGATAAGTCAATTTTGACTTAGAGAAAAGTTTTAAAAATCCTGAACAATCTATTCCCCCCTCTAGACTGTTCCTGATATAAACGGGACCAACACCATGCGATAGCAATAATATACAAAGTAAAACATCACCCGTATGCTGAAAGAGGAGCACCGCTTTTTTATACCTAAATAGGAGTCTTTTAGTGTCCATGGACTTATTTACCCTTCTTTCATTTATTTTCATCTTGAAAGCTCATACCCTCTCTCCTTCATCCATCGACACCATTCGTCTTCTGAGCCCCTTTCCTCTTCCACGATGAAACAGCGGAGAACACAAGGTGAAGGAAGTAGTGGCGCTACCAGACCCTTCTTCTTGCTCCCATTTTCTTCTTTTCTTTTCTCCCGTGAGATTATTCAATTGCTCCACGTAAGTGTCTTCTTCTCTTCCTTCCTCCTCCACTTTTGCTTTTCTCCTCTCCTCCTATTTTCTTCTTCCAGTGAATGTCAGGCTCAGCTCGATTGTTTACTTGATTACTTCTTAGATTGTTTACTTTTAAGTTTTAAGTCTCAAAATTGATTAATAATTATACGTTTTATTTTGATAACCTAATTTTTAGATCTAAAAAGTAAAATCTCAGATCCGAAACAGTGAGGCTTGAAAATTTGGTGATTCGAAATATTTAAATTGTCTTTTAATTAATTTTGATTCATTTATTTTTCTTAAAACAACATTGATTTTTCTTCATCATTTTGGAACTGGATTTTTCAATAAAAAATTGATGCGTCTTTTATAATATTTTACTCTTTTGAAGATGGCACTTTACTAGCTCCTTTGAAATGCACGTCACATGCTTTTTATTTGGAAATGTCATTTTTTGGCATTAATTTTGTGTAGATGGCAATAGTACTTTTAATTCCATGTTTTGTAAATGCCATATTTTCCTTGACTAATATAAAAAACCTTCACCAACAACATCCTCATACAACAAGACCAACAAAGAGAGCACATTGACAGAAAATTGCGCGAACAGCATTTTCCATAATTTAAAGGAGGCACATACATTCTGTCGTTCAAACGGTAGTTTCACTGCTCTGTTATTAGGAGCTTTCAATATTACAGCAGGTGACGCACCGGATGTTTCCTGTATGATTGGGACTCTCTGCCGCCTTTGCATATTCACGCTCTAGAACAACTGTTTCTTTAGTAGAAATACAATGATCAAGTGTTTTTAGAATGAATCATGTTTTCTTATTCTTGAAAGAGAAATGACAGATGTGGTCCTGGTAGAACCCTTTGAACTTGGTGCATTTCCTTGCCCACAAACGTTTCTCCAGTCGTAGACCCCAGGTCAATCCTTCAACTTGTTTCTCTAATTTACTCTTTGCAGCTTGGAGAGCACCAGCATCCCGTGCAGCCTGCATGAGAATATAATTCAAATATTCAATTTAGAAAAAGAAAACCATGATGATGGTGCAAAAAGCAACCTGAAAGAATAACCCAATAAAAAACAATCAGACAATTGACGAGCTAATGGAGTTCACCAAAAATTAGAATGCAAAACATATAATTACCCAGGTATAGTAATCAACTTCAAAGTGGAACAAAATTGAAGTAATACAATATCGGATAGACAGGTCAGTCTATGTGCTGTGTGAGCATGAGAGGATTTACATGCTTAAGACATTTTAGCATCAAAGTTCTCCAGTAGAAAACAAAGACCAAATATTTAGATATCTATGACACAGATAGCATGTGCACTGCCGAGTGCCAACATAATGACTTTAAATAAGAATGAACTCTTCTCTGGTTTACGCTTTCAGATCTTCCCAAGACATCACTCCTGCAAGCATCCAGCTCTGCCATCTGACCAGATCTTGCTATGACCGACAAAACGAGCACAGAAGATACATGTGAATCGGAAAGAGTGTTCTGCTGATATAGTTGTGCAAATTAAAGTGCAGTGACTTGCTAAATGGCAGAAGGTGATGCTGCAGAAATAGGGGGTGCAAATTGATGTTTTAAGAAGCTCCTAATAAATGTTCACCAACCGCTAGGATGCTACACAGTATAACCGGCCTAGCCTCTGTACAAAAATTAACAAGCAATTAGTGTTAAACAAAATAACAATTAGATCACACAAATAAGTCAATGATCTACACAATTTCACAAAAATAAAAACATGACAGAAACAATAGATTAAAAAATAAAATATGGCCACTCACTATGTTGTTAATTAGTTGCAGGACATCCTCGCATGTGTACTCTGTCATGCGGTATTTTGAAGTGACACAAGTCTGCCCCTCCATGTATTTCAATGGAATCCAACTGGCAGTTATAAGGTCTGTATAGAGATATCTCCTCCTCACACAACGTCAATTCCCTCTATCTTTAGATTTGGGATGAGAGATGGGGATATAGACTAAAATGGACTGTCCAGGCTTCAAATGAGATGCATACAGAAAGGGTGATTCTTTGTAAAAGTCCGGATATGTGCACTCATTGATTTTAATTGTTGGGACGTGCTCGGGTAGATTATAGCCAAATTTTTCTTTTAAACGTAATGCAAGGAACTCATGTTCCTTTTCATTTACACCCTGAATGTGGGTGTAAATGTCAAAAGGAGAGGGGTTCACGTGTGATGCTTGTGGTTGTGGTGGCTGTGGTGGCTGTGGCAGTTGAGAAGGTATGCCAAAGAAGTTCTCAAAGTCATAATAGTTGTTATTAGGAAACAAATTGTTAACTAAGTTTTGGTTAATGCAGTTCTCAAATGAAGCCACTATGGCATTAATCTGCATGGGATCAAAGTCTTCATTGTACTTATCAGAAAACAAATTGTGAACAATCGGGTTGTCCATATAACAAAAACATAAATTTAGTAAATTTCAATGCAGTCTCCCAGTATTTAGATTTGATTTTCCTGGAACTGTTTTCAACTTTATTAGTTCAAGTTCAAATAATCAAATTTATAAAAGCGCAACAAGGCTTTGTGCCTCAACTAGTGCCGCAACTAATTTACAGACAAAAATTACAAAAATCTCCATTTAAATGAAGGGCAGAAAGTTACTGGTTTGGTCAATATACTCTATCAGCATCCTATATTGACCACACCAGTAACTTTCTGCCCTTCATTTAAATGGATATTTTTATGATTTTTGTCTGTAATTAGTTGGGGCACTAGTTGAGGCACAAAGCCTTGTTGGGCGTTTATAAATTTGATTATTTGAACTTGAACTAATACAGTTGAAAACAATTTCATGAAATTCTGAATACTGGGAGAATTTGCATTAAAATTTACTAAATTTATGTTTTTCTTAGATGGACAATCCGATTGTTCACAATTTGTTTTCTGATGAGTACAATGAAGACTTTGATCTCATTCAAATTAACGCCACAGTGGTTTCATATGAGAACTGCTTTAACCTTGACTTTGTTCACAATTTGTTTACTAATGGGTACGATGAAGACTTTGATCCCATGCAAATTAATGCCACAGTGGCTTCGGCTTCATATGAGAACTGCTATGACCTTGACTTTGTTCATCTGGAACACACAATACCAATCCTTGGTGACATACCTTCTCAACTGCCACAACCACCACAACCACAGCCACCACACATGAACCCCTCTCCCTTTGACATTTACACCATCCCGGTGTAAATTAAAAGGAACACGAGTTCCTTGCATTACATTTAAAAAGCAAATTTAGCTTTAATCTACCCGAGCACGTCCCAACAATTAAAATAAATGAGTGCACATATCCGAACTTTTATAAAGAATCACCCTTTCAGTATGCATCTAATTTGAAGCCCGGAGAGTCCATTGTACTCTATATCCCCATCTCCGATCCCAGAGCTAAAGATAAAGGGAACTGACGTTGTGGGAAGAGGAGATTTCTCTATACAGACCTCACAAATGCTAGTTGGCTAAGGCACCTGAGGTTAGGGCTAGGGGATTCCCTGCCGGCCACCTTAGTGGTCCCGGATCTGCGTGGTCCCTTAGTCTGTGGCCTAACCTTCTAGGACTGGCCTCTGTATTATCCTTCTAGTATGCTTAGTTACTGTATGAGTTGTTTTTTACCATGTCTTCTAGTATGGTATCCTTCCCTTCAATGTTAAATCTGATTTTGATATCTGGAAAAAGAAAATGAATGTGTACTTATTCAACAAAAAGTGTATAGGGCAGTCACTGGTCAGTTTTTAGAGTCCAAGGATAAACCCAAGCAAATTGAAATGAATGAAGCTACTTGTTCCACCATCTACTTGAATCTATCTGTTTCAGTTCTTAGAAAAGTAGGAATCCTAGAGTCCGCATTATACACTGAGACCTACTTATCGGGAAAATTATTTTTACTGGAAAAATTCTTTAGATTTACGCTTGACCTAACTAAGTATATTGAGGAAAACCTGGTAATTTTTCATAAGTTGATTCAAAATATCAAACAGGCTTGGGATAAATATATAGATGACTACGCTCCCATTGTTTTACTCAATGCTATCTTTGATTCCTTCAATGATGTTAAGTCAGCCATTAAATATGGGAGGGATGGGATCACCCTAGATATTGTAATTAATGGTCTAAAAAGCAAAGAGCTTGACTTAAAACACTGTAGGGGGCATACTAATCACTCTAAAGAGTCTGGTGAGGCCTTTTGTGTTAGGGGCAGATCTAAGAGTAGGTCTAGGTACCCTAGGAAGGATAACCAAGATAACCCAGGTCACTTCATAAAAGATTGCCCTGTACCGTCACAGCCACCACATTATCCCATGAACCCCTCTCTCTTTGAAATTTACAAGCACATTCCCGGTGTGAATGAGAAAGTGCACGAGTTACTCACATTACGTTTAAAAATCAAATTCTTTGCCTCAGATCTATCCGAGCACGTCCCAAAAATTAGAATCAATGAGTGTATATTTTCGGACTTTTATAAAGAATCACTCTTTCGGTATGCATTTAATTTGAAGGCTGAAGAGTCCATTTTAGTCTATATCCCAAATCCCAAAGCTAAAGATAGAGAGAACTGGCGTTGTGAGAGGAGGAAATATCTCTATACAGACCTTACACATGCCATTTGGATGCACATGCGAGGTCACTTCAAAATACCGCATGATAGAGTACACATGCCACAGGATGTCCTGCACCTGGTGAACAAAACAGTGAGTGGCCATATTTTATTTTTTAATCTATTGTTTCGGTGTGTAGATCATTGGCTTATTTGTGTGATCTAATTGTTATTTTGGTTAACACTGATTGCTTGTTAATTTTTGTACAGAGGCTAGGCCGGTTATACTGTGTAGCTTCATAGCGGTTGGTGAACATTTATTAGGAGCTTCTTAAAACAGCAAATTGCACCCCTATTTCTGCAGAATCACCTTCTGCCATTCAGCAAGTCACTGCTCTTTAATTTCCACAATTATATCAGCAGAACACTCTTTCCGATTCACATGCATCTTTTGTGCTCGTTTTGTCGGTCATAGCAAGATCTGGTCAGATGGCAGAGCTAGATGCTTGCAGGAGTGAGGTCTTGGGAAGATCTGCAAGCGTAAACCAGAGAAGAGTTCGTTCTTATTTAACGTCATTGTGTTGGCACTCGGCAGTGCACATGCTATCTGTGTGCAGAGGTATTCATTTCTGCTTAAAGCCTGATGCAATTTGTTTCCCATTGAATATCTTATGAACGGGAGGAGTCTCCCCCACTATGCCCTTATACGAGTATATTTTAGGAACTGGTGGAGCCTCTCCCCTTGTGTCCTGGTATTTTATTGTTTCAGTCCACCATTTTGTAAAAGCAAGCAAGAGTGCCTTAGATGATGTTCTTCCTCTGACCCCTTGTTGTGTGACACCATTCGTATTAGCTTCTTAGATAAACCCTTTATTGTATGTCATAGATGTCTAAATATTTGGTCTTTGTTCTCTATAGGAGAGCTTTGTCCATGAGTGTATGAGGGCTACTGAAGAGATGTATTCTGTATTAAGATCGAGAGAAAAAATCTGCGTGTGCATTTTGCTAGGAAGGCTTACAAAGGCAGCGATAATCAGTCGGGTATTTTACCATGACTTTTTGCTCGTTTGTTAATCTCTCTGTACCTATTCCACATCTCCTTTTGTGTTTTGGTTTTGTTGTGCACTCATGTGATGCACATTCTTTAGTCTAAGTTTCTTAATGACACATTTTAATAGTTCAGAGCCATCGTCGCAAATTCTTGACCCGTGTGGAATTTAAGAAGATGAGGAAAGCTGCAACCCCAGAATGTGCTTGGTGGGCAAGAGCTGCTCGCAAAGAACTTTGAAACCTGAAGCTGGTAATGTGTATTTATGTGTTTATTGTGTTATAAGTTGGCCTACCCTCTTTTTTCTAATAATTCTACGCCGAGTAAATCTGATGCTAAAATGTCTTATGCATGTATGACTTGACTCGCATGTAGTTGGAGCGAACTTCAACTAAAAATGCCAAATTGCCATTTCCGAGTATCATTGTTATCATGTTTTTAAACCTAGGTTCGAAAAAAAAGTATTTGACATGGAATCAGAACACAAAATTCTTCGAAAGCATGTACTGCTGACACCATCTAAGCAGATGTCAGAGCCCTTGGGTTTTGCCAAGGTGATTATACAAAGATTAAGTGTTTCCTGGTTCTGTTTCTCATATTCCTTGTTTTTGCAATTAATGTAGCAAATATGGATGAACTGGAAGAAGGGCACTTCTGAATGACAAAAACAGAACTGGGTAATATATTCTTCTCTATAGAAGATTTTTCTTAACTAGAGAATGCCAAATATGTAGTCAGTACGATAATGCATGGTTAATAGATGTTTGATACCTGCAGGAAACATCCAGTGCGTCACCTGCTGTAATATTTCAAAATCCTGGTAACAGAGCAGTGAAACTACCGGTTGAATGACAGAATGTATGTGCCTCCTTTAAATTATGGAAAATCCTGTTCGCGCAATTTTCTGCTAATGTGCTCTCTTTGTTGGTCTTGTTGTATGAGGATGTTGTTTGTGAAGGTTTTTTGTATTAGTCAAGGAAAACCTGTTGCAGCCTTTTAATATTTACAAATGCCTTCTCAATTGAAAATGTTATGAAGCTGATAGAACAAGTGTTTTGACCGTCTAATCAATATGATTGGTTCTGCCATTGAGGTAGTATAACTATTGGAATGGGAAAGTTACCTTAATGCTCCTTGCGATGCTGCCAAGTGTTGATTTAAGTTTTGGAAGAAGCACGCTACGGCATGAATACTCAAATCACAATATTAATTACCACTGTTCGTCACTTATCATCTCGAAGAGATTTACTATTTAGACATATATTGGACTTTTGAAACTCTGCCAAGTCCACAACTTGTTTTAGTATCTTCTGAATCTGGCTTTATTAAGATTTGATCATTTACATTATTCTCGCATGTCTACTAGATTATTAGCATAAACTTTGGCGGCAATATTGTGAAGTGCGTGACCATTTCAGGCTCTTTTATCCCTTGTTTGGTTGGAAGAAGTCGAGAGGTTAGAAAATTGGAGTGATGTATGATTGGTTGCAGCAGTCCGGGGGTAGGAGGAGGAAAGTGGAGGAGCTATAATTGTGGCTACAACTTTTCTAGCTTATATGTTCTGAAATTAATGTCATTTAGTTGCTTTCACAGCCTATATATGTAAACTGAAATTTGACGTGATTTCCAGGTCTATGCATTCTAAGTATATTTTCTATTCATAGTGTTGAGATAATTTGTCTTCTTTCTTTTAGAATTCAATCCTTCCTTCCAATCCAAGCCCTCCATTCTTTATTGTAGGATGATTTGGAAGAGGCGAAAATACAAGATAAAGCAAAGCTACATTCTGATTTGCAAGAGCTGCAAGCCAGATTCAAGGAGACCAAAGACATGCTTGTTCCGGAGCGTGAATCTGCAAAGGCAGCAGAGGAAGTCCCAATCATACAGGAAGTCCCTGTCACTGAGCATGCCAAGATCAATAGGCTGACTGGTGAAAATGAAAAGTCATGGTTAGTAACAGGACAAAGTTTATGGATCCGCCAAGCACTTTGACGGTGTCCATTCTCTTTGTGATGCTTTGTTGTTGATGCTGCAGGTTATGGTTAGCTCTCTAGAAATGAAGATTGAAGAAACAGAAAAAAGTTCAAGTGTTAAGCAAACTAAGTGGAGAAGGGTTGAGGCAATGGATCGAGGCAGAGCCAAGATTGTTAATTTGAAGAGTGCTATGCAAAGGTCAGAAAAAAGTTGAAGTGTTGGTGAAATTCTAAACTTTGTATGACCTGACTCAAATGCATTTGAGCGAACTTCAACTATTAATGCTAAAATGTCATTTATGTGTATCATTAATCATCCTTTTAAGACCAGGCTTAAAGAGAGTTTTTTACATTGAATATGCGGAAAAAAATCTTCTATTGCAGTCTCTGTTAACACCAGCCAAGCAAATGTCAGAACCCTTGATTTTGGCTAGGGATGGCAACGGGGCGGATCGGAGACGGTTTTACATATAACAGCAACCGCCCCGTTGGGTAATTTCCGCGCCTGTAACCACCCCATTACCCAACGGGTAATTTTTATCCAAAACATAACTGCCCCAACGGGTAACTGGTAAAACTTCAGGTAACCGCGGGTAATTTATTTATTAATTGAGTCATTAAATTTTGATATAAAGGTAATATTTTAAAATGTGAAGAATGACATCGCCTAGACTGACTCTACACTTCAGATGCCAATTTGAAGATTCGTATATCTACAAGACGAGAAAGGAATCAACTTAAATTAATTTGAACCTAAAAATACTTGATCTAAAAAATAATTAATCACAAAAAAATATGGTAATAATCAAACAAGACTATTAAAATCTTGGAATTTTATCAATTCATGACCCGAAAGATAGATTAATTATTAATTCAGGACCCGAAAGATGAAACGTATTGGTATAAGACCTGAATGATGGAAAACTATCAATTTAGGATCTAACGTTTCATAGGTTTTGATTTATTTAATTTTTTATTAATTTCATTACTAATTTTTGATAAACTTTTCTTCACAAAAGTTTATTAGTTTAATAAAACGAAATAATATTTAAAAGTTTTTAGTAAAAAAATATATGACAACTTAGGCCCTAGATTGATAGTTTTCAATCACTGAGGTCTTAAATTGATAGCTTTTCATCATTCGGGTACTATATCGATGCATTTTATCTTTCAGGTCCTGAATTGATAATTAATCTATCTTTCGGGTCCTAAATTATGAACTTTTGATCATACGTTATAGTTTTTTCTTTTTGCTCGAAGAAGGCTTAATTCATAAAAATAGCATTCAACAAGGGTACAAAACTATAAAAGAGCCACAAACAACCATCCGCCCGTGGCCGAGACTGAGAGTTATCATACATTATAGTTAGTACATCTATTATCTATATATACACAATGGAAAGAAAAAATCTCATCTTTTAATAGTTGTTAGACAAATTATTGATAAAAATATAATAAAAATATAACTACAAATAAACGGGGCGGATACGGGGCGTGTAATGGGGCGGGCATGTATAAAACCGTAACCGCCCCATTACCCGTAAAAATAAAACGGGGATTCCCCGCCCCGTAACCGTTACCCGGTCAATGCGGTTTTCCCCATTTTGACCGGGACGGTTCGGTCACAATTGCCATCTCTGATTTTGGCCAAGGTGATAATGTAACATAAGTTTTAATGTAACATATAAAGACATCCAACATTGTAGTTTTAAATTAATATAATATGAATCATAATCTAATTTAAATTATCATAAACTAAGATTTATATACAGTGTACATGATAATAGATTGTAAAGAGAATCTAGAGTAATATATGGATGTTTCATTAAAAGATGACACATGGAAAAAATTTCCATAATTGTATCTGTGAAATGTATTACAGAGTATTTATTATAGATAGACATGTCATATGGAGTGCTCCGTATATGTTTTATAAATTTTAATTTAGATTTAAATAATTCAACTGCTTCACTCTGATTGGTCCATGTGTACAAATGTATGATACCTTAAGGGTACCATAGAATCTACCTTTAATAATAGCTCTTTTGGGATATTTTATCTTATTATAAGATATGTAAGTTTATCTTTATTTATTTATACAACTTTTGATATTATGACTCAATTTTAAGAGGGTGTTTATCGGTCAAGTAAGAAATGGATTATTTTCATTCTTGATTTCTATCACTTAATGAAAAATTAATAATTACACTAATCCAAGCGTGAACCGTGATAAATAAGGAATGATTATGTATTAAAAATAGCTATTTTGAACTATTTGTTCTTAAGTCCCAAAAAATTACTTTTTTTATTAAAAGTTATTAAGATTTACTTTGCTTTTGCAAATTTACCTATTACTTACACCATTTCCCTTATTAGGACTCCCAATTCTTGAAGATTGAAGGATCCACAACGTAAATAATTAAGTATTAAAAAGAAACAATTGACTGAGATTGAAGGGTCTTATCATTGATTCAGGGAGACAATGAGATTTAAATATTTCTCATCATCCATTTCAACCAATAAGATTTAAGTATTTGACTATTCCCACCACCCATTTCAACCAATAAGGTTTAAGTATTTGACTATTCCCACCACTCATTTCAACCAATCGAAAATTAGTATTTTAATCAAAATAAAGTATCCAATAAAAATTAAAATAAAACTTGATGTTGACATTTCTTGGGGGAACACTATTCCTCAAACTTCTTTTACTTTTATATTAGAATAGATTATTATTATTATTATTATTATAAGTATAATTATTTTTAAATTATAATTATAATTATAATTATAGAAATATTTAAATCAGATCAGATTAGAAAGATTCAGATCAGATTAGAAGGATTCAGATCAGATCAGAAGGATTCAGACCAGATCAAAAGGATTTAGATCAGATCAGAAAGATTCAGATCAGATCAAACCAGGTTAGAAAGATTCAGATCATTTCAGATTGATTCAGATCAAATCAGATCAAATCAGAAAGTTTCAGATCAGATCAGATCAGAAAGTTTCAGATCAGATCAGATTAGAACTTAATAAATTCAGATCAGAAACATTCAGATCAGGTGAAGAGAACAACTTCTTAATATGTCATTATCACGTGTTGGTTTGTTATTATTCAAAAAACATGTTTTAGTCATGATTAACTTTATGTGATTGTGTCTAGAAATAATCAATGATAGAGGAACGAACATTGGAACAAAAAATTTTGTGTATAAAGAAGTGTTTCTTAACATTTAGCATTAAATAAATTATGTACCTTTCAAATTATATTTATATTGTGCCACTGTGTGCTACTTACCATTTTATGGTGTTATAAAAATTTGTGTACTACTCCATAATCAAAGAAAAATCATATTAGACATGTTTCATATTACATCAAGTTTTAGATGATTACGGGGTATAATTCTAAATGATTGAATTAGAGTTACAGATTTGTTTTTTATACACATGATACATAAAATCGTAATTTGTTTTTTACACATGTGAAATTTCACCAACCGTGCATCGCACGAACAGGTGTATGTTGCAGTATCAAGGGTTACCAATTGTTGTGGTTTAAAAATTCTAATTGTTGACGAAGACGGAGGAACCACTGACAAGACTCATCAATGTTTAGGTTTACATGAAATGCATATTTCAATGTTATGGTATCTACGCATTTGTTGGATGTTTTTTATCTTTTAAGTAATGGTTAGTGTTCTCTTTTTAACCATAATATTACAAGTGTGTTTCGTTCATTGTTTTTATCTACATCAGTATTCAATGGAGATGGATGTTGTCATCAATTGATACTGTAATTTGAATTAGTGAGCACAAATAAATTTGAAAGAAAAATTCTCCGACCGTGATTTGAGGTGATTAACGCTGAATTATAGAGTAAAAAATAATAGAAGTTACCCAACATGCAATATCTTCTTCCGTTTTTGCATTAATGTTAAAAACCCTATAAAGTCAAAGTTTGAACACCTGAGGATGTTTATAGCTTAATTATTCACAGGTGTGATCGAAGGTTGAGTACTACATCAAAACAAATACGAATCAAACACAATAAAAGTGTGGATATTATTGAACGTATAAAGACATGACAATTACAATTTCATCTTCTCTTGAAAGCATACCTTCATCACCTTACCAAATTAAAACCAAATGCTGATTTTTTTTTCAATGTGTAAGTACTTTATCTTTATCCTTTAACGAAAGATTGTCTGCGATGATTTGTCATTCAAATTACCACAAATGCATTCAAATTACACTTTATATATAACAAAACTGAAGTAAGACGCTTACATTAATTCCAGCCCATTCAAGGTTATTAACAAGTAATTTAACGACAACAACTTTAATCAAGAGCTTCAATTAAAAAAATCATATTGTTAATTTAGATCTTTGTAAAAGTCTATATGTCGTTAAAAGATAACTATATGTTGTTATCTGTAGGATTACAAATCATTGGGTCTTAAAATTCTTATTCAACTAATGACGAGACCATAAGTTTTGTATATAAAAAAGTTTTTCATTTAATGTATTCTATGCAACTCACTTTTAGTATTGTCCTTATAACAGCTTAATAATAAACCACTTACTATCGTCATTTTTTAACTTCCTTATTTAATCTACTGTTATAGCAATTATACATATTAATCTTTGTTTAAATCTCACACCGTGAATTGCACGGGTACTGTCCTAGAAAGTGATCTGGCAGGTTTTGAAATATTATTTTTTCCCTTTTAAAAACATGCATATTTTGGTTTAAATGATTTTTGATTAATTATCTGAAAATAGTCTCTCAGGAGGAGTATTTGATATAAAACACTAACATTTCAAAACAAAATTTAAGGGTGCTGATTTTTCAAAAAAAAAAATATACAGCAAGACATCAATGGTCTTTTACTTATAGTTGATATATGTGTATAGTAAAGAGAAATAAAGTAGTTAGTTAATATGTCTCCTTAAATATAGGAAAGCCCTTTCTATTATGTACTACGTTTTTGTTTTCAATAATTAAGGTAAAACAATTAAGTTAGTTCAAATGTATTTACAATTAAGTTTATTTGCTTTAATTTAGGGGGGTTGGAATTAAACAACTGACATAATTTTGTTGTTTAAGGGTTGGTCCATGCCATGTGAAGTAAAAACAATTAAGTAGTTGGTTAATATTACTTCTTAATTTCAGAAAAAACAGTTTTAGTAATTAACGAAAGAAAGTTAGTTGGCATGTCTGTAAATTAAGAAAAGAATGTTAACACATAAGAGTCTATTTTGATAGAGAAGTTGAGAACAAACTCAATAAAGGTCAAGCACAAAACAAACATGTAGTATCATTCAGCCATCATAAGTCTATAATCATAACATCTTTGTTAGGTTCTCTTTAAAAACCAACTAT